GAAGGAAGGAAGGAAGGAAGGAAGGAAGGAAGGAAGGAAGGAAGGAAGGAAGGAAGGAAGGAAGGAAGGAAGGAAGGAAGGAAGGAAGGAAGGAAAACACTGAAATTATAAAACCTGTTGGCATATCTGCTCTCTTAGCTACTTGCCACAAGATATTTAGAGGTCATATCAAAACACACATTTCCTGATTACAATCTGCAACAGGACAGGTTATCCACTCACTTGCTCACACGCCAGGAAGATGACAATGTCCCCCTTCTCCTTGGCATGGTGTAACTCAAAGAGCAGCCTCAGAGCAGCCAGGAAAGGGTCCCTGTGGGTGCTGCAGGAGTACACGACCTCAGCACGGTGCCTGCTCTSCACTCGGATCATGGGGACACCCCCACAGAAATCCTGCAGCTCCCTGGCCATGTGGGGAGCAGTGAGGAGCACCAGCCTCAGCTCTGCTCTGGCCAGCAGCACATCTCTGAGAAGGCCCAGCAGTGCATCTGTTGCCACAGTCCTTTCGTGCACATCATCCAAGACAATGACACCATAATAGTTCAGGAGGGGTGTGGACATCATCTCCCTCTGGAGCATCTCATCCGTGCAGTACCTGCRACACAGAAACACAACACTCTGACAGCTTTCTTAGAATATCATTGTAAGAATTCATTCAGGCTCTTGGGGACAGCTTGGTTCTTTCTGTTCCAACCAGAAAGATTTCATAAGGACAGAGAGTATTTTGCAGCCATATCACAGTCTCAGTTGTGGATTTAAATCCTTCCTTAAGGAGCTACAGGCTCGATGTGGTTCAATGGCACTCAGTGGTGCTGTGGTGGAAAGGATGCTCCAGGCAAAAGCAGAAAGACTTCTGCCCTAAAATCATAACTTATTCATCTTCCAAACTATCTGAGCGCATCACATGTCATAATTCCTGAGCTGGGAACTAATCCTTTTAGAGGAGGAAAAGAGAGTGCACTTGAGGCAGAGCCARAACCATTAATTTATGCCATAAGGGCCTCCTCACTTCCATCCCTGCTGCTGAAAGGTTTTTTTAAGGATATTATTTTTGCTGTGTTGCTCAGCAGGACTTGGAATCCTTGAAGCAGAATTCCATGTGTGAGAGGAAGGGATTCATCTCCCTCACAACAGGAGCAGCTGCAGGAAGCTCTGCTGCAGGATGAGGTGTGAGGAGCTCTCCATGGAAAGAGAAAACACAGGCAAGAGGAAGAGGGGTGGAAATTGAATTTYGGAAGTGGTGAGGATCCTCTGCTCCAGTGGAAATCAGTGGTTGAGAAAAAAAGCCTGGTGATGTAGAGATGGTAGTTTGTGCCTGGCATGTTAGGAACCAGAGAAAATAACCCTCACAACTTTCTGGGAGGCTCAAAAGCTGCATCCTTGTGTTACTCCTGTCACCTGCCTGTACTGAATACATCAGGTGCATTTCTTATCTCTTAAAACTCTTCCTAAATTCTTATCTTCTCTTGTTATTGAATATGCCCTCTTCTAGCCGTGATTTTGGATTGCTTTTAAATTCCAGCTCTACTTTGTGATAGATAGCCCGTGTTCTCTTACAGTAATGAACACTCTTGCACTGGAAAATAGAGGGAAAAAAAGATAGAGGAAAATAAATAGAGGTTATGGAGGTGCTTAGTGAAGTTTTTTGTGGATGGTAACCTTGCCCACTGAAATCTGTACTTTRATTTAGCAGAGAGTGCCTCTGTCAAGCCTTTTAGTGCTTATTGATTAATCAAAAATGACAGGAGAAGAGAGGGCAGTAATCTCATTGTAATCTAAAACTTTCATGTGAGTTGGGACAGTGGGGGCAGGCATGGATGTTTGCTCTGTGTGACCAGGGACAGCACCCAGGCAATGGCTGGAGCTGGGCCAGGGAGGTTTAGGTTGGATTTTGGGAAAGGTTCTGCTGTCCCCAGAGGGTGCTGGCACTTCCCAGGCTCCCCAGGGAATTGGCACAGAACTCCAGGGGTTTGGACAGCCCTGCCAGGGATGCACAGGGGGGATTGTTGGGATGTCTGTACAGATCCAGGAGCTGAATGATCCTTTTGGGTCCCTTCCACTTCAGCATACTCGGTGATCCTGTGATTTTAAAATATCACACAACTTTACCAAGCAGTGTTGGTTTTTTATTTGTAAGAGCTTCAGCTCTGTTAGCGCCAACTCCTGCCCTTGGCCTGAAGGCCTCCAAAACCCCAAAGACCTCCCAACCCCAATGGCCTCCAAAACCCCAAAGGTCTCCCAACCTCAAAGGCCTCCCAACCCCAAAGGCCTCCCAACCCCAATGGCCTCCAAAACCCCAAAGGCCTCCCAACCCCAATGGCCTCCAAAATCCCAAAGGTCTCCCAACCCCAATGGCCTCCCAACCCCGAAGGCACCAACCTGAGGATGGTGTCAGCCGTGCAGCAGCTCTCGAAAGGGACATTGTAGCCCACCTCGTGGCCCAGGCTGACGTCCATCTGGTCAGCCACACGCAGGGCCAGGCTGACAGCGGCCGGCCGGAGCACCTGRGTGCACACCACGGCCCCGCGGGGCTGCAGCTCCAGACAGCGCTC